TTGCACGACAAGATGTTAGGCCCACACGTAGAAACCCCTGTTTATCGATCACCTCCGCGGCGTGTCTGTTGACATGGACATATGCCACCTGCTGTCCGCGGTCTACCGTTACCATGTTTTTCACCCTGCACCTGGCACTAGGTGTCTCCCGTAGTATGGCCTCAAGCACTTCCTCTTTAGTTGTGACCGCGTCCAGATCTCTCACGCTCAACGTGCAGTTGTCCTCAAGGATGGTGACCTCCCTGTCGCTTATCGCCGCCTTTATCTTCGGCCCCTTTCCATTCTCAAAAGGATGTCCCCCGCCCTTGTTCTCTGGATACCCTCTATCTTGGTATCCACCCCTGACATGTCGGTCTGCCGTATCCGTTTCAGTATGTCTTCTAGGTGGTTTCCACCCTGCAGCCGTACCAGCACCGCTTCCGCCCTCGGCGCCCTTCGCCTGGTGCCTGAGGTCACGCCTTCGCTCTCGCTGGTAGCCTGCTGCCTCTCCTTCGGCCTCCCCTTTCTTCTACTGGCCTGCTTCCATTCGCCTTCGGGGTCCCCTTCAGTATCGTTTCGGTGAATCAACCTCGACTTCTGTGCCCTTGCCTTGTTCACGTCCTCGGCCGCTTTCTCCACTTCTTCCTCCTCGGTCGTCGCTGGCGTTGCAATTTCGACCCTCCTGGTTTGGCGGTTTCTGGTCGGCACTCGTCCATCATGTCCCGACGGTCCAGGTTTGGCCGTTATAGCTGCATAAGAGACTAGGGGGCTCGTCTGCGCCTCAGTCGTTTTCATCTCTCTTCTTGTGATTGGTCTATTGGCTGCCTGCACCTTGTCCGGTCGGACCTCTGGCACGCTGCTTTTGGTCGTCACCTTTAGGTTGCTCACGTAGTGTCCCCACTTCTGCTCGATGAGCCTCCGATGGTTCTCGAGGGTTGTGAACGTCTCGCTTACCCGTTTGCACATGGATTTTAGGGTGTTGTTCGTGTTTTTCGCGTTTTTGATAAACCGTAACGTCTCGTCGATCGATGATAAAAGCATCATTTCACAATTTTAAAATTCATACCAATCGGAAAAGTGATAATTGTGTAATGTTGAGCACTAAAAGAGTTATAAGGTGATTTTTTTTAAAAAACAAAATGGTACTATTGTGATTGAAGGACAAATTTTTATAAATTCAAGTGTGTTCTCAAAAATTAACACAGAAATTTATAAACAATTTTATTTCTTCCTTGGTCATTTTGAAGATAAAATTTCGATAATTTCATTAACAAAAGACCCAATCATATGCAAAATGTGCTGCCTTCCTAATGAAGATGCAAACAATTTTTTTGTTGTACCTATACATCACACTTTGCTACGTTTATAAGCAAGTATTTTTATTAAAATTTGTGCAATAATTAGTTCTTTTATATCATTAACTTGTCTTTCAGTGGCTAACGACAATGGAACATCATTGATGTCAGTTATATCAATTGAGTTTGTTTCAATGCGTGTTTCGGAGGGTGTTTCTTTGTAAATGCCATTACCTAAATCCGTTTCAGGCTCATTATTATTCACGTATACGGGAATATAATTCGCTGGATCTTCAGTTGATACAGTTTCGTTAATAGTTATTAGTGTTGTATCAGGTGCAGGGGGTAGATTAAGACAAATAACGGCACTCTCATCTTCACTAGAAGATAGCTCACTTTCATCTCTAGCACTGGTACAATTTGGAATTACACGTTTATTTTTTCGTCTTTTTATATCTAATACCTGTGTGGGGTTGTTGATCGCTTCTATGTCGGTTGATTCTAAGTCAGATTTTTCCAATAAAACAGATTCTGCCCTATAAGCAGCATCATAAGAATCTGCCAAAGAGGAATTTTATTTATCAAGGGTAGGTACATAGGTACTCGTATTTGAAAGTAAGTTAGAAATTAGATGTACATATAGTTACTTTACCGAACAATTTAGTACAAATTGGCTCAACTTTATAGCTAGTCCATTTTTTGTAAGGTGTTTTTCCCTTTTTGGCATAATCAGATGCTTTTTTGCTATCGTATTTTACCTTAAAAAATTAAACACATATAGATATATCATAATGGATTTTCGAAAACTTTACCTGCCCTTCTTTAACCCAACTTGTAGCTAACACACACGTGTCGCTAGTTCCAATAAACTGGTACACAGTGTACGTCTCCATATTCCTTCGGCACTAGGTAATTTGTAATTACACTCGTTTCGCACGTGAAATGAGACTTGTCTATCAATAACAAAATGACATAACCTCGCTAAGCTTGTCACGCGCAACTCCGAAAGGCAACTTTTATACAGATTCAGTAAAGGAAACTGAACAGAATCTATACTATCCTATTTTCCTACACTAATGAGTTAGTTACCCCGTCTATAATTCAACGTTACTAAAGATTTGTGTACAAATGGCGAAATATAGTATCGATTAGGTAAAGAATTAATACCTATTTAGTAGAGGATAATTATAGCTATTCGTATAGAATACACATAGATTTAATAAAGTAGGCATATATCTTCCACAACAGTAAAGTGTTTTTACCCATGACCTGTACTGAAATGTCGTTGTGTATATAAGAATACTTTATATGTGCGATAAATTTACAGCATATATTCTATTCAGAAAAATATATACAGATAGTGCTGTATAATCGCTGTATAGATTAAATAAAACATACATCTATAAAGAATATCTTTAGTTATACTCTAAATATGATATACAGTTAAGATCTTTATCGAGAAATCTTTATAGCATATAGACTATTCTATACAGTTCACGAAAACCTATATCGCATGGTTATACGGGATTGCCCTTCAATAACCGGTGGTCTGCGTCTTCTGGTGTACTGTTGGAAATATGGTTACAATATAAATGTACTTTTTCTCACGATGATTAAGTTCTAATGATTAAAAATATTAAAACAGTATAATCAAAGGTGGCTACCTAATTTCATTTTTACCGTTACTTAGTCTACGTTATAAAACCGGATGACGTAAGGCATTTAAAACTATTATACGTTGTACCAAAGAGCACCCACTACTCTGGTTTTACTTAATTATTTGTCCAATTTGCCTTCGTTCAAGAACGAATTCATTTAAATAAACTTCAGGAATGGATCGCGTCGAGTCACTTTTCCATGGAAACCAAGAAGTACACCTCTAGTCTTTTTTCGAATCGGAACCCGATGATCTCGCTGATTAAAAAATGCCCATTGAAATTTAACCTTTACTATCATTTACAACCTTTTGAACCAATTTCAGACTTATATTCAAAAGTGCCATGGTCCATGGTATTTGATCGTTCAGATAAGGCCGGTTCCCTTAGTACAAGGACATATTTGTTTAAAACTTAAAGATTAACTTTGGATCGAATCAATTTTCGATTAGAACCAACGGGGACATCTCTGACTTTTTTTGGAATCGGTACCCGATGATCTCGTTGATTAAAGAAATTGCCCATGGAAATTTAACCTTTACTATCATGTACAACCTTTTGAACCGATTTCAGACATATCCAAAAGTGTCATGGTCAATGGTATTTGATCATTTAGATAAAGCCAGTTCTCTTAGTACAAGAACATATTCGTTTAAAACTTAAAGAGCATCTTTGGGTCGAATCCATTTTCGATTAGAACCAACGGGGACAGCTCTGACCTTTTTTGGAATCGGTAAACGATGATCTCGTTGATTAAAGAAATTGCCCATCGAAATTTAACTTTTACTATCATGTACAACCTTATGAAACGATTTCAGACTTACATTCAAAAGTGTCTTGGTCGATGGTATTTGATCGTTCAGATAAGGCCAGTACAATTAGTACAAGAAAATATTTGTATAAATTTAATTATCTTGGATCGTATCCATTTTCGATTACAACCTAGACGTCACGGTCCATGGTATTAAATTAAATTAAAAACTGTCGCGGTTAGAGAGTCGGTAATGTCGGGTCCGTTCACTTGGCCCCCCATTAGCTCAAAAATGAACCAATTTTTTTGTATGTATTGTGCCTCAATTGTGCTTTTATGCTCACCGTTTGTGCCTTTTTGGTTTCAGACATAATACGTGAAATCAGATGTGCTAAAATCAGCAAGGATAATTGTTGGTGCTGCAAAAAAAAATTTATTTCAAACTTATTTTGAAGAGCGGAAAAAGAATCTCAAATCAGATCCTTATGTCAAATGATTTCCATCTTTTATCCCAGTTTCAGTAAACAAATCTGCAATTTTGGCTTTCGTTTCGCATAATATTTTAGTTTTTTTACGGGGGATTATCCAGGGATTTCTTTCCGGGTTTTTTTTTCCATGGGTTTGTTATTCCGGGGGCTTTTTTCCTAGGAGTTTTTTTTCTGGCGTTGGTCGTAAGTACCTACATATGGTTTTAAAGCTTGTAACATTGTGCAGAAGAAATGTGCCAAATACCAAATAATGCAATTGCAATGAAGAATGTGTTGTGGACAAGGACCGATTACAAGAATAATTTTTCGTTGTATATAAGATTATTTTTAGTCATAACTTCAACGGGTTTCCGGGCCTTTCTAAGGGGTTTATGGGTCATAGGTCACTGCAAAACTGGTGAGATTGATAACAGCTGCTGCGATGGTGCCTGTTCGCTCCGCTGGTTTGGTTTTGCTTTTTTTCGTAAGGAAATGTTTCAAATATTTAAACACGTTTGAACGTAACTACAAAGGGCCATGATATCCAAAAAAATGTTGAAAAGGAATAATTTCAATAACAAATCGTGTGATAACCTTATATCTAGCAAATTAAATTTCGCGTTTGTGAGTATATATCCCCCCCAGTCTTTTGGCTTTTACAATTTTTAGTTTCTCCGCTCTCCCTCTCCTTTATCGGTCAGCATACATACAGGAAAATTTTTATTTTAGTGGAGTAGGATCGCGACAGTGCTTCGTGTCGTTTTGTTTAATCTGACGATTTACTATCACCAAGTGACGAAGAGTGAGGTCCAAATTTATAAGGACTTCCAAAATAAAACGTGCAGATACGGTAATGGGTGCCGCATGTGCACTGCAGCAAGGCGCCGAAGCGGGCCTTTATCGTGAGCAGTGGGTTGTTACAGACAATATAAAATTAGAACTAGCGCGAATTAACTCCAGGCTAACTCGTTGTAATGATTTTACCAAAGGCATTTGCACCCGACCTCAGTTTCGTTTTTCGCATAACCCTATGCCGGCTGACAGTTTTTTTAAGTGCCCCATTTGTTTAGGGGAAATTTTCAAGGGCGAAATCGTTTGCTTTAGTCTTTGTAGCCATAGTTTATGTAAACAGTGCGAAAAAGGATTGCCGTTTTTGCGCGGTTATCGTACAGTGGCGGGTGGGGAAGAGACGGTGATCAAGCGGTGTCCAGTGTGCAGAGGAGAGTCTGACGTAATAAAAATATTTGTTTAGTTTAGGTTTAGAGTGTGTACTTTTAATTGAACGGATTTGCCAATAATTGCTTCAAACCGTTCATTGTATTAGTGCATTTCTTGAAATAGTAGATTGGACATTGCGATTTGTTGCGCCACTGCTTTGTTTGCAACAGGTTTCACCCTTCGGTGTGGAGCGCGGTGTGTAGGGGCGATTGCCTGGCACGTCACCTTTCTTCAGTATTCCTCGTGTTTTGTTATCATTGCGATTTCGTTCCAAGGAATTGTAATTTTTTTTGCAATGGCGACCCCTACGCCGCTTCCACCAACACCAAATAATATGTGTTGCGATTTCTTGTTTGGCACGTGTATGCGTAACGCGTGTACATACAGCCACGAGTTATTGCGTTGTTTTAAAATGTGCAATTTCAATTGCTGTAGGCGTTTGCATCTTACTGCCGAACAACTGCAGCAAATTGGACAGCAAGACGCTTCGCAATGGGGCCAACATATTAAAGCAGAATTGCGGAGAATCGCGTGGGTATATTTAAGAAACTGCCCATCCGAAAAAGTAGACCAGTACTGCGCTGCAAAATTGTTGGGGTCCAGTTGCGAAAGAGCCACCTGCTTACGGTGTGGAGTGAAAAAAGGTTAGTAACCGTTTTTTTAATTATTCTCGATGTTGTGAAAATTTTGTTTCGCCGTCTGTCCGTGTACACGATAACTTTGTTTAGAAAAGTTCGATCGCTTTGCAAATTGGTACGCACCAAGTCTAATCGAATTGCAAAAATGCCCCCCAATATAATTACATTGAACCTGCCCGCCCTACACAGCTCTTCGCTGGTCGACACAGATTCATTTCAATGTAATTTCTCTGGGAGGCGAATTTTTGCAATTAGACCTCGTATGAGACTGTGCCTAATCAACGCTAGGCTATCTGTACTCATTACCATTAGTGTGGTGAAAAATAAAGCATTCGTTACTCTGTATTCCTTACTTGAATACATTCTAAAAGTATTCGTTGTTTTCATGGTTTCGTTATCGTTAAGGGTGTATACCAGTTAAATTTTATTTTTGTTTGACGTATGTTGAATTGCATAATATTTAATTACAATTAATGCTAACAAAGAGACAAAGATAGAGGAATGTACCTGCTCAACCAGTGTAGGTATAAAGTAAACAGGTAATTACCTAATTGACAGAGGTCATTAGTCATTGAGATGAATACGCATATAAATTAGACATTGATTATAAAAAGTTGGTTCCACATTCATTTTTTTGACATGTTACAAAAAATCGTCTAATTCTAAAATCAAGCATAAATTTGTAAAAAGTTGGTTCGCATTCAATTCAATTCTTTTTCAAGAACGCTACAAGCTTAGGTATACTTTCTAGTTTGTGTCACATTTAGATGTGTTAAAAAAAATCATTACATTTGAAAAAAAAAATTGTTTTCACCCAAAATGAAATCACATTTACCATGTGAACTTTATTATTCAGTATGTAATGGAATTATAATTCGTACATATAAATTAGCCCTAATAATAGAAATAATGGTGCTAATGACAGCTATTCCTCAATAATTTCACTTTTCCCAGTTTTTCATAAGACGTTTGTATATGTTTATAATGAGATTAGAAAATTTCGTCCCAATCGAAAAAAACGCGAGTTGAAGTGAAAATGTAATGTTTTTCTGTTAGTATACATTTTTGTGGAGTAGGGTACACTGGCAAAATTATAATTTTTATATAAACGAAATTTTTATATGGGATTAGAAAATTTCGTATCAATCGAAAAAACGCGAGTTGAAGTAAAAACGTGATTTGAAACAAAAATGTAAATGAAAGGAATTTTTCTACAGTGTGCCACAAATTCGAGGGTAAGTATGGGGATCTCGTAAACGGTAAGAGATACGAAGTCGGTTAAATGGAGGCAAAGTTGGGCATTTTGGTGCTCAATAATAATCTGTCTTTGGATTAAAAAAATTCCGAATACTTTTGGAGATATCCGATAAAAACCGAAAATTTGATTTTTGGATTTTCTCAAAAAACTCGAAAACCGTTAAAGGTTAAAAGTAAAACATTATTAGAGCACTTTTTGTATGTCTCTCCATTGATGCGATCAGCATTTCTTCTCAACGAATGGTTTTTGAGATGCGATTAGGAACTTTAGATTTTCTTATGGGCGCCATCTTGGATTTGTGAAAAATTAGAATCTACATGAAATTATTTTCCAATCATGTATCATGATCCTATCTTTCATTGAATGTTATATGAATAAGAACAAAAAACCTTCTCCATCTAAGGAAATTTCATGTAGATTCTAATTTTTTAGAAAAATCGCTACTTTTATTTCAGGCTGGACTTGATTCTTCTGCGTTGCCTTCAAGTAGATTTCAAAACTCTGTCTAAACCTCTTCCAGCTCTCACTTAGATTGGTACTATTTATATCCAAGCTTTTAGGTGCTTTGAAGCCTTCCATAATACTTAATACTTTGCTGGACCTCTTATTAACCAACCTTTTAAACACGTGCTTGGAGGTTAGGTTCAAGGGTGTGCGATTCTAAAACTTAACTTGACTCGACTTACATTTCCTTTCTCGACTGCGCCATGTTATATTCTTGTACATAAACTTGTACTTGTAAAGCTTGTTTATTGGGATAATTGTATTACAAAAACACAAAATCATTGTACATTAGCAACCTTGTGTACAACCTTGACATCCGGTTAGTGCCATGTTGCCACATTCACTACACCTCTAAAGATCTTGAACGAGCCGAAGTGTAAAATCCATGTGGTCGAATAATCCGCCCAAGTGCGAAAATGAACGCTGGTCCAATAATAGCAGAACCCAAATTGCCAACTAATAATTCCAGCTTCAAAAGGAGCCTTTATTCTTAAATAATCCTCACGATGAGTTGGATAAATTTTAATTAAGAATAACCACACTTCAATCTTGCACGAGAGTTGCAACAGGAAGAGAAGAAGACTTTCACTTTTCCTGGGGAAATGTATAAAAGCGGGGATTCCCCTAATCAATCTCAGGTGACCAAATATTTAAACTTTAAAGATTCCCAACTTTGAATTGTAGGACAAGGAGAAAACATACATAGAAGGGGATAAGCAGTGATAACAATTTAAATGTGACAATGCAATGAAATATGCTGTCACGGAGTGAAAATTAAGCGCAAGGAAAATTAGAACGTTAAAGCCTGAAATACAATCTCAAAAAAAAACTACTGAATTCTTAACCAAATAAGCAATTTATACGGTTTCGAAAAAAACCGTCACAATTTGCACCACAAAGTCTCTGAAAATAAACCGACAAAATGTACGAGCAAAATGGACCGACAACAAATATTATCCAGCCAATATTATTACTTACAACAGTAAGTTTTTTTTATAAATTGCATTGTGTAAAATTTGATTCGTTTACAGAAAATCATTGCTTATTAGAAAGTATTAAACAAAATATAATTTCCAACCGTCCACGTATTGGTAAGAATTTTAAACAACGTAATATTGACTTTATAATAAAATTTTAGAACTCTGCAGATCATTTGGTTGTGATCCGACAAGTGGTCAGGAGCCATCATCCAACAATTTGGTCACTTTTACCACACAACCAATCTGTAAGTTTTTAATCACATTATGGGAATGTAATTTGACTTGTTCTGTTTTTCAGGTACAGATTTAGAAGTACCTACGCCACCCGATTCCGAGATCACTGCTGAGTGGAACCCTGAAGCAAATCACTTTGGGGACAACGAATGGTCTACAATAGAAATGATAATCAGAGATATAGAGGACAATGCACCAGCTCCTATTGCAACTACAACTGCCCATCGTTTTTCCGATAACCAATTGGTTCCCTCCACAGTGCAACTTGCGGATAAAGCAGTCTTAGAAGGACAGATGGTGCCCGACACGAATCTTTTTGAATTTGATAACGGAACAAACAAAGACCCAAATACTGACAACATTGAATATTATGTAGTAGAAGAAAATACCATTGATATAGACCATAATGAATCTTTTTCCTTCACCTCACAACCACTTGGTAAGTTTCTTTTATTATATTATGCATGATTTTTGACATTGTTTTCCTGCCTTGCAGATCGACCATGCTTGGAACAGATTGTACCTCACTCTGATGTCTTTAATGAATTTGACACTTCCACCTCTGAAGATCAAAATGTTTCGTTCTTTGTTATCACAGATCACTCCTACACACGAACTTGCATAAGAGATAATAAAGAATCCTATCATGTGGCACCTACAACAAATGGTGATTGTGTGCCAGCATCCAGCAGGCGATCAATCCCCTTTGCAGTACAACCACTGTGTAAGTGCTTTGCTACTTTATTTTGGATATCTAATTTTACTTTATCTAATTATCAGATGAAATGAGCTTAGAAGCGCCTATTGAACTTGATTCCGAGACATTTGAAATATTAGACGTGGATACTTTTCAAGATGTGGCCATTGAAAACGAACAATATGTTAAGGTGCGTATACATATGCGAGCCGAACCGTTCGCGAACAACTGGTTCGTTAGATTGGGACGGGATTTGTTAGCGCTCGCGAACCGTTCGCGAGCGGTTCGTGACGAACCGTTCCCTGTCGGTTTTTTCGACGAACACAAAGGGATTCGCAGTTCACATTGGGACGTGTTTGTGCGAGGTTCGTCGTTTTTATTCCGGTCGCGAGGTAATTTATAAATATGGAGTGGCCCGAGGAAAATATATTGCGGTTAATAAACATCTATAAATGTAGACCTTTATTGTGGGACCCCAAAAATGTTAACCATTTTAAAAAAAATTTAAAAGAAGATGCTTGGCGCGAAATAGGCGTGGAAATGGAGGTGTCTGCAGACCAGTGTAAAAAAAAAGGTAATATGTCTACTGGCTTCGTACAGGCGTGAGAAAAACAAAGTGAAGACAAGCACTGGAACAGGAAAAGGTAAAAATATAAAATACGAATAACAACATAAAATTACACACGTTTCCAATTTTTGTTTTTGTTAAATTAAGTTGTTAACGTTGACATTTTAGTTGTTTGGACCTACTTAACTTACAATGTATTCATACTAATAAATTACACTAAACACTACATAATTTACGTACAATTACAAAGTAATAGTTGAAATACAATAAAACATTTACGCGGATGGATGCTTGGAATAATGTTAATTTTGTATTGTAGGAAGAGATGAAGTTTATGTAAGCAGATGGTTTGCCTACGAAGCTTTCAGCTTTCTGGAAGACAGGGATTTGCCGAGAAAGAGACTTGCCACGGTGAGTAAATCCTCTTAAGCATATTGGTTTTGCCATTCTAAAAATCCTTCCTTAATAAAATAATCAGCTATTTCATCCCTAATTCTGGAACAGTAATTGGTGGATCTTCGAGGAACATTTATTAGCGGCAACATAGACGTCATATCTCCTTCTTTCCTCCATGACCCTTCGATTAAATTCCCCTCCATTTCATTGTCTAATAAGCCAACAGGTGCATACAGATTAGGTGAATGCGTTCTAAGATAATTATGTAACAGGATGGTCGTCATTACTACCAATTCCGTTGTTTCGGGCTTCAAAAGCATTGGTCTTCTTAAGACCCTAAACACGGCACTTGAAATACCGAAGGCGTTCTCTACTATTCGACGGCCCCTACTCAATCGATAATTGAAAATTCTTTGAGGAGTTCCTTTAGCGAAGTCTCCTGCGTATGGTTTCATGAGATTTTCACTTAAAGCAAAGGCACTATCGCCTGCAAAGAAATAAGGTATTTGCATACTACGCCCCGGTAGTTCTTCTGGTAATGGAAGTCCCAATGTGTTTTCTGCAAGCATTCGATGTAATTTACTCGCCTTAAAAACTCCCCCATCTGAAATTCTGCCTTGGCATCCCACGTCAGCAAACATAAAGTTATAATTGCCATCAACTAATGCAAACAGTACAATACTGAAATTCGATTTGTAATTAAAGAACTCAGTACCAGAGTTCACAGGAGCTTGTAAAACAACGTGTTTGCCGTCGATGGCACCAACACAGTGAGGCAGATTCCAACGTGTTTCAAATATCTTGGCAACTTCCGTCCAAGCTGCAGGAGTCGTGGGTAACTGAAACAGAAAATACTTATTCAAAAAAATGGTTTATTAGGGTACTATTTCAATTTAAAGAAGAGGGGATTCAATGTAAATTTAATTCTATTTATGAACACATTTGATTCATGAATTAATATCTAAATTTTAATTTTAGGAGGCGGATGATGTACAAGATGGCGTCTATCCAGTAGACTCGCCTGTCGGGCAAATTGATCAAGAAGCAACACAGAGGGAAGAAGAGACACAGCCACCTTCTACGGTCAAATCTGATAAGCGAGTGAAGGGGAAACGAGATGATATCAGTTCTCCAATGATGAATAGTGCGTTTCAGATATTGGCAGCTGCCTCAAAAAAGTTGGACATGAAACCGTGTCCTGCAAATGAAATTGATTCATTTTTCACATATGTCGCTACGAAAGTTAACAAATACCCTTCTGAACTACAACAGGTGGTTCAGCACTCCATTTTTGAAGTACTTATGCATGCAGATAGAGGTTTGCTTTGTTCGCCTACTCCAGCTTATCCGTATCCTACTAATTGGCAAAACTCTGTAGGAACTGCACCAATTGCCACCGCCCACATGTATTCACAGCCTACACCCCATTCTCAACCTCCTTCCCTTATGCATTCCCAAGCTACTCCCCATATGCATTCTCAACATAGCCATCCTGTGTATTCACAGTCACAGCAGGAAATACCTCCTGCTGCTACACCTTCAACATCTGGTCAGTCTTTATCTGTGCCCTCATCACAACCGTCTCCTGATTTATCAACGACGTCAGAGAACTTTGAAGATTTTCTGTAATGTACCTTTACTTATGTGTTTCCTAACTTTCTAATTACATTTTATTTGTAATTAAACTTAAAATTTGACCAAAAGAAATTCCTTGTATGTGAATGAGTTATTAAATATGTTACCTTAATATAACCCTGCAATTCCGTCACAAGTGCTGCGCAGACTTGTGGTACTATACGTCCAATGGACTGCTTGGAAATCCTAAATAGGTACTGGAGGCTAACAAATGAATCACCCGTAGCAAGGAACCGAAGTGTTACCGCTAGTCTGAAACAATAAATTAGTAAAAAATACAAACACATAAATATCCTAGTATTCACGGTAGCATTATTTACCTGTCTTGAGCGGATATTGGAGTGCGAAAATAAGTTTCCTCTTTCGAAATTTGGGGGCCAATCTTCTGCAATAAATTCTCAAAATCTGAAGGCGACATACGCGTGAAGTTTTTATATTGGCCGCTCATTTCTTGTGATTTCATGTCGATAATCAGTTCCGTGCCGCTGCGTTTTTTATATAAGTCGGTATGCCACCAACGCCTTTGCTTCCTCTTTTTTTTAGCCAAACTACCCATCACGAGAGCTGCACTGCTCATAACCATAATAGTGTAAATTTCCTCGCGCGAAGACATGTTCAATATATAGAAGTACACAGCCGACTGCTGGTGGTTTGCGGCTGGTTCGGCTTTTCCATGGATCGTTGGAAGTTCGTTGTAAAATTAATTTCAAAGAACAGTTTTTGAGCGGTTCGCGAACGGTTCGGCTCGCATATGTATACGCACCTTTAGAACAGAACCGATTTCCATTGCTATGGGGAATAAAAATCACAGGAAGTGACTAGTACTGTTCTCTCAAATCAATCTGGTAATATTGTTAATAGTCCAAATAATTTCCTATGACAGCTCTTGTTTTAGGATCTTCTATTTCATCTACACCTATTCGAACTCCGTACGTTTACTATGATCGAAGCCGTATTGTGTTACCAAACAATGCCCAGAATCTAAATGAGGCAGTTGGCGCACTACCTGTAACTCTTAGCGATTCATCCAAAACACGTACATTTTTTTGTATTTATTGCAAGAAACATTATGCTAAATTTCCACAACATTTAATGGTTAGCCATAAAAACGAACCTGCTGTTTCACAGTTTATGGCATTACCTCTAGGTGAGCGGTTTTTCTGAATTTATAAAAATTTGTCTAACAAATTCCAAATCACTTTCCATAATTCTTGTATATTGGAATAAGTGTCCTTTACTAATATATTTAGGCAATTCCATTTTTTTATGGAGGAGTATTAAATATAACCCCAGCCTTCAGTTCAGGAAGCTCTTAAAAACAATACAGGTTAATATTCCGTTGTATTTTTTCACGCTTAAATTCTTGATCTCTTTATTTTTCTCACACTTTGGTTTTATTAATAGAAGACAAAACTGTTCTCAAGTCAAACGCCATATAGTCGCCTTAGTTAGAAAACCGACAAGTTTACAAGGGATCAAAAAAACATTTTGCAGAATTTGTCGATAATATTTGTTTTTTTTTAATGTTTATTGTTCTTAGAGATTGAGTTTTTAAAACGTTTTTCTTACCAAAATGCCAATTAGTAAATAATAATGGACTTAAGTACGAGATTATCTTGAGTAATTTGTAGCATCTTTTTGGACTTGCTAGGTTCTCGTTACCAATTGCCAACAATAGTGATAGGACTATTATGTGTATCATCTCGGGATGCAATCAATTTTAAATAAATAAAATTCGGTTTCGGGTATAGAAATATTTTTATTCATTTTGTTGCACAGTTATTGGAGGCGTCTAGTTTCATAGTGCACATTCATGCATTTTATGAAGAAAAATGTTCTTTTTTTTGGAGATTGGACACTTTGAAAATGAACATAGATATTTTAAGGTTTATAACCAATACTTCTTTTACGTGAATTGTTTTACATTTTATTAGAAGATTAGTAGCAAAACGCAAACATTTTTTCTATAAACAAAATGCAAAGAAAAAAATTGTAATCTATTACGGATATTGTACGTTTTGAAACCAAGGCTAATATTCAACACGGAAAATACATTGCATATTTGCTACAAACCCATTCCTTATTCGAATTCTTTGGTAAAAAGTACCCATGAATACACTTTTACCTCCGATATCTTAAAAAATGGAGATTGTACGCTTTGAAAATCTAGGCCGCTCTATTATTACATTTATAATCCAATGGACCTATTATATTACAGGTTGTCCAGAACGACGACGTTTAATAGAAACTATTCGAAGGAACGGAGACTATATGCATAATACAGAGTCTATACATAACAGTGGTAATTTTTATGTTGCAAGACGATCATATGGCAACTACAACAGCCTTAATTATTTACCGTGTCCATCTTGTAAAGGTTTTTTTAAAAAGTCGACACTTCGTTTGCATCATAAAAAATGTGGAGGAGAAAATGTTGGTGGGAAAAAATCTATTCATTTGGGACGATCTATATCTCGTCAGTTACATGCAAAGGCTTGTTTCACTTTACGTACTCGTATATTTCCTATTTTACGTGACGATGAGTGTGTCAATATTATTCGCTATGACTTCCTTGCTATTACATTAGCGAATTATTGGTGTGCAATGTATGCAGATTCACACTTTGATGAAATGATTCGTGCACGACTGCGCTTAATTGGACGACTGCTGTTAGCTGTAAAATCATTGGGTAACAGTGTAACTGATTTTTGTTCCATAATGATTCCGACAAAATATGATGTTGTTGTTGCCGCTATTAATAAGGTTGCAGGTTTGAATGAGCAAGGCACCATTTATAAAGCTCCTACCACAGCTACAATGCTTACTACAATATGTAAAAAAGCGGCAGACATTTGGCAGATTGAATGCATTAAATTGAATGATTTCGGAAAGAAAAAGGATGCAGAAAATTTTTTACACCTATTTAAATATTCCAGTGCTTAGAAAATCGACTTGTACATCAACGTCACAAGATAGTATCCGTTCCGTCAACTGATGATATTTCAAAGCTAGTGGCGTACTTGCGCACTAAAAGAAGAGACTATTATAGAAAACTAAAATCTGAACAAGAACAAATTTCCGTAGACACTTGGAAAAACTTGGCATCCTATACATTAATTTCCCTTATGGTATTTAATCGTCGCAGAGCCGGTGAATTGGAAAGAATCACGTTGGAAGATTACGCTAGTTTAGGTGAAGCTTTGTTAGCACAAAGGTACAAACGGTTTGAGATACGAGGAAAGCTTAATAGAGCTGTACCTGTACTTGTTAATTGGGAGATTCAGGCTGCGTTAGATAGTATTATCAGTTATCGTGAAAAGGTTGGTGTTAACCCTAGCAATCCTTATGTTTTCGGAATGCCATCGACGGATAATCGTCATCGTTATTTACGAGCTTGCCATCTGTTACGGCAATATTCGACTCTTTGTGGTGCAACAAATCCTCATTTACTTCGTGGTACCCAATTACGCAAACATATTGCTACGCAGTGTTCTGTACGAGACTTGTCGGAAAATGTTATTAAAGATGTTGCACATTTTATGGGTCATGATAAGAGTATTCATGACAATATTTACCGGCTCCCTGTTAACAATAGGGATATATTACAAATGTCCAAGGTTTTGGAGATGGTACAAAGAGAATTCTAATACGTTGCAACTTGGGCGCAGTTCTCCGATACTGCAGGAGTCTGCAGAAATTGAGTGGAATGCCAGTACGCTTACTCGAGAAGAGAATTCTAATACGTTGCCGCTTGGGCACAGTTCTCCAATAATGGAGCCTGCCGCAATGGAATGGCATGCCAGTGCATCTTCGTCAATGGACCTTCAACTTGACAGGGATAGTTCGGAATCAGAAAATAGAAAAAAGGGACGTCATAGTGCAGGTAAAAATGTCAAATTTTATTCTCTATACTATGTAGAATTTGTTTAAAGGCTTTAAACGAATATGTGGTAAAAAAGTTCCATGGTCTAATGAGGAAAAATCAGCAGCATTGACTAGTTTTTCAACATATTTGGCAGAGGACAGACTTCCTTCTTTATCGCATTTATCTGAAGCAATTCCCAATATCCCACAATTGGCAAACCGATCTCCAACAACCGTTAAAGTTTGGTTGGAAAATGAACTTGTACGTAGGCGATCCTCGTCTTCATTCAATAAAGATAATGTTAATGGTGACGAAATACATGGGAATAATGAAGGTATAGTATTGTCAGTTACTTTTGAAGGGGGAAGCACATGAAGGGATTATGTTTTCCTTAAAAATTGCCAACAATTCTTTCATAAAATCAAATTATTTCTGTTGCGTCCCCAAAGTAGAATAAAGTATCCTTTCGTTTTTCCTTTAATGAAAATACCCTGTACATAACCGTTTTGCCTTGGCTGTATATATTCCTATTTGTTACGTGTGCGCGCATGAGCCGCAGAAGCGCAATATGTGTACTCGTCGCGCAGAATTCGTCCCATTCTTCGCTTAGAAGCCATCAACTCAACTACGTGGAGAAGTCGCCGTTAATCAATGGCCGATTAACCTTCGTCGTTCGCATATAGATCTCGATCGATCCACAACGGGTCAAGATGTCGCCGTGCAGTTCGCAACATCGTTCTTAACAAGCAGAACGTCAAAGCACCGCACATCAATAAGAAGTATAACGTGAGGTTAGTTCGGCGCTGTAAAACTCAAACCCCGCCGCATAAACGGCCAGCTAGCTCAGATTCTTAATTAAAAGAAGGGCTCGAGATGAGAATCTTCCACAGCGGTTGGTTCGTTTGGGCATATAACATAAGTTCTGATCTTTGGTAGTTACTAGAAATGATTAGTTGAGCGCCACCCAATTTTGCACAAATTCTGACCTCTCCTGTATAGAAATTGGGAAAACACAAGAGAGCCAAATAATAAATTCACTACGAGCAATTCTGATTTATTAATCCTGGCAAAAACGGTGCAGGATCGGCAAATAAAATGTATCTTCAATACGACAATAACAAATACTTTAAATGACAAAAATAATCCCCAAATAAATTCATGAACACTTCCCTAATAATTACGTTACCAGACCCCTACAACAATGATCGAGCAAAAATGTAGCTAAGATTTCAATGGATTCAAGGATTGAATTAAGTGAACCCGAATAACACTCATATAGGCAACACTGGGTACAAGTAAATTAAAAACCTTACCTTGAATAACACATACGCTGTCTTCTCCGAAAAAGAGCTCTCCTTCGAAGTTCCAGTTCTGTAACACAAAAACAAACCCCAAGCTACAACGCTCGGAACGATTATATGAGCCGGAAGGGCCAAAAAAAATAGCTTACTCGTAGCCGGCTCGTTTACCCATACGTTAAATACAGGTGCGTTGCTCTTGAAGAGAGCCACGACCTCAAACACTAGATGCGAACAAAATACAAAGCTCCAATCATAAATCGTCGGAAGGTTACACTAGATTAACGGTATTGAAGCAAATAAAAAAAAAGGTTGTGTAAAAGATCGTATCTTCCGAAAATTCCACAATCAGCTGGTCGCTCCCGGTATCGTTTAGGTGTTAGCGCTTATCTACTCGGTGGTACGCCGGATAGCTGCCGGCAATCAACAGGTGTTCGTACTCCGGAATATTCGCAAGATGCAAATTCATTTACTATCCCAAAATTATGCCAGGTCAATGTCCTCCGCACACAAGAATGTGCAAGGATATACTATAAACTATACCATACAAGGATTCGTCTGTACAAGGATTGACCGGTACAAGAATTCATCTACTACATGGACCCCCTAAAAGTAATGAAGATGTAACACTCCCTTAACGAGATTTTTAATAACATACCTGAAATCGTCAGGAGGGTAATGAAAAATACTTAAATCAATGAAATATGGAAATTATCCAACCTCAAATTGTGAATCTGAAAGAATTTTAGATAACATAACGTAAAAGAAAGCCAACGCCATTTCACTTACATGTAGGTAGGGCGATGAACTTCAACCAGATATATAGCCTCGCAATGGAGAAAACGGCTTCTGAGTTACACTACTCGACAACGCCAATGACAAGGTAAAATTGCCAGAGATTTCACGTGAATGATGGCAAATATTACCCACTGGTTTAAGAAGAATTCACAATGCCACGCTCTACAACAAGTACAACCTCGTTGGCTTTAAAACGGAAATGAAAAAAATAACGCGATTCTGCGCGAGGAAAGAAACACGCGTACAAGTGACGCCATCTCACCTATATCCTACCTAACCTAGCAAGCGGTAATTTTGAAATTTGAATATGAATAAACTAAACTGTTACAGAAGACTTCGTTGTAACAAAATCGACAAATTCGACAACTTCGTAGAATAGAGCAATCTTCGCCATTGCAACATCGCCTTCGTTGTTAATGGACTTTGAAACAACACGTAAGTTCCTTTGTTTACAGTATCCCTTCGTAACTTTACCATATTCTAGTAGCCGTCGTGCCTACGTCAACCATATTCAATAGAAATTCATTTACTTTGTATTTTTTATAATAAACACGTTTATTTATGTGTCTATATTCTTTCATTCCCAGCATAAATAAGGCCTTGGAAGTAATTCATAATTACAGTCCACTTACAATCAAATTCTTTGTTATCGAAGCCCCCTTGTACGGTACAATTTCATTCAGGAGCACCTTTCTTTCATTCTTTACTTAATAATTGTATATTGTTTATTTTGCATTTAAGTAATGCAAAATTTTCAATATTACGCTTCATGCAGTTTATAATGTTTTGTTAGTTACGATTTAGAAAAACATCACAAAAAAAAACTGATCGACTCCACAGGTTTCCACTTACTAGTTTACCTGAATTAAAAATTTAAATGGCAATCTTTATACAGGGTTGCATAACAAAAATGAAACAACTTGAATAACCCGCATAAAGGGGGGTACGCAGTTAAAGATGTGAATTTTGGGTGAGAAAAAATTCATAAGGTACAGGGATTCTATTTACGGGAAAGGTTTGGTTTTATACTTAAGAAAGTGTAGAACAATTGGCAGACATCTTGCGAGGGGCTAACTCGCCGGCAGACCACGCTAAAGAATGCAAAAATTAGTTACGAAGTGCACTGCACATTATAGATATATTACCTTCGTTTGTTCCAGTATCAATAATATCTTGTATTGTACTAGGCAGCTGTGGTTTGAACAATAATTGAAATTCGTATACCTTATGATTTTTTTCCCAACTAATTTTTGCATTCTTTAGCGTGGTCTGCCGGCGAGTTAGCCCCTCGCAAGATGTCTGCCAATTGTTCTACACTTTCTTAAGTATCAAACCAAACCTTTCCCGTACTATGGATTTTAATAAATAGTTTACCATGATTCTTATTAAAAATCCTGTACCACTGCGTAATGATACCCAAAACTTGCAAACTTCCTGATCCTAGATTTTGCATACATACTTACCTACTGATAAAACATGTTCAAACAAATAAGTTTATCAAATGTGCCTGGCTCTGAGCGGTGTAATTTATCTAATACACTTGATTAGCACAGTCCAGTCCGAGGTTAGTTGTTAGTATCCTGCCAACACATAACGAGATGTGTAAGCAGGTTTGAGTAGGTAAGTTTGGTGCACTCCACAATTAACGAAAAGGTATTTGAAGATAATAGGGTAGGTCACATGGGAGAATTTTAACTTGCGTCTGAAACCATGAAAATAGGCCTTTGGGTACACAAAAATGGTCCTCGGTACAAAGTTGGGTAAAGCCCTCTTGAAATGGGTTTGAAGCACTTTGTTGTGATAAAAGTGCTTGCATGCTCCAAGCACATTTTTGTAATGAAAGAACATGGAATTACCAAGCACTTTCCAAAGTAATTGAAAATATAAAGCATCAAGCCCTTGTAAAGTGCTCGACGCCCAGTAATTGAAAATATAAAGCAACAAGTTCTGCTTTAATCACAGATACCTCTACGAAAGACAACCATATCGGGCACCTAATGAACCACAAAACGCGTAATGTTAGAGTAGGAGTAAGCAGAAAGCTAAGGGTTGTCAAGATCGGTCACGTATTCACTCTAAACAGCTTCGCTATGAAAATGCTTGAAACTCTTTGAAAGTGCTTGAAGCTACGTGGAATTGCTTGAAGCTATGTGTAAGTGCTTGAAGCCCTTTTGAAATGCTTAAGCTCTTTAGAAGTGCTTGGTAATCCAAGCATTTTCCTCTAAATTTGAAAAGTATTTGAAGCGCAGTGCTCTAAGCAGTAAAAGTAATTGAAACTCTTTTGCAACCACCGTTTCTCAAAGCACTACACAGCTCTGTCTGTGTAGCACCCAAATATTATCAGGATCAACAATATAGGAAATCTGAATTTGTTGAAATGGACGAGTAACGATTTCTGTTTTGTACTAGTATGTTATATAAATGAGATTCGGTTAAATTTCGTTTCGTAATTTCGTTTAATAAAACTATTAACTATAGGTTTCTTCCCTTGGAAGTCCATATCATTGGTTAGCAGATTAAAAATGTGACAAAGTCGTTGGTAGAAACATCACTGAGAAACATCACGTGGTCAAAAATCAAGTAATAATGTAGGTAATTTTTAATAAGAAATAGATATCATTTTGAATTTCATGCAATTTGGTTCATAACCAATGTAGATGTCAAAAGGGCATTCCCGCGAGCAATCGAGTGACTGGGAAAAAGCATACTGTCGTTTAACAACTCAACTCTAAAATAATCAACACAAACTAGCTAAAATATATTTTTTAAGGGAATACTCCGTCCCGGACCCATGTGAGGCATCACCTTTTCTGCTGGTCGCCGCCTGCAAGATTTTGCAGTGAAAGGAAATTGGACGACTATTTTTCTAGGCACTTATTTCTACTTTTCGAACTGATTTAACATAATCAAGTTATTGAATACTTCGGCGATTCGGCACAGAAAAATGTAACTAATTTGACAATTGTAAAACGCTCACATAAATTTTAACATGGCAAGAGGCCTTGGTATCCGTTGGGATGATCCGGATGATTATAGTTTTCGAAATGTTTGGATAACATAGTATGCGTAGGTGCTTTATGCTTAGAATTTGCCCATGATTCTGTCAGACAGCGGTGAAAAACAACAAATAATTAAACTCAAACTACTGCAGTAAAATTACCGATGCCTTGAGATTTTAAAATTGAAATATTACGTAGTCGGTTATTCTAGCTGTTTCCCTCTTATCTAGGGCAAGCACATAAATATATACTTAAATCATTTACTTTATGTATATCATTTACTACAAGGATACTCACTTTCAGCTATATGGTCGCTTTTATGAGCTTATTTGAGGTGTATCTGTAAAACGGTTACTGTGAGGCTATAACAAAATCCCATGCAGTAGGACTCTGTATTAACGGCATCCGTAGGCTCGTAGTAACGAGACTACGGGCCCTATTCTTGAACGCGTGACTACCGTGTGAGTGAGTGAGTATGACGTCATCTCGAGCGATTTTCATATTTTCGTATTCTTGACGCTTTAAACCGTTCGAGTGGGTGACTCACACTGTCACATGTCGAGCGCTTTCAGTCGATCAGTTTTTTTTCAGTGACTTGAGTTGTGCGATCCTTTTAAACTGATTTTTGGTGATCTTACTCGTATATTTTCCTGAAGTATAGGCAATAAATAAAACCGTCACGCTTTTCGTGAGTATTTTATGCATCCTTCACCTTGTCGGTTCTCAGTGTTTATATGATTTATGAATGAAATCTAACCTCGCTTTTGATAAATTTTCGTGCTCGTTCTCCTGTGATTTCTAGGCGATTTTTATTATTTATTTATACGAAACTGTTTATTAAACTTCCTTCTTTTTAACGATTATCATTTTGCTCGCGAAAGTGTGCATAATCCGTGTGAAGTGTACAATTTTTACACCTCTGTTTTTACCACAGTTTTGCTAAGTATATAAAGATTCATTCAAGAAATTAAAATGGACGAACTGGTTATGTTGGATTTGCTGGACGCCGAAGAGGAAGCAGAAGAAGTTGTCCGTGTTCAAAGACCCCGGGCTGACGCAATTGCCATTCTTAGCGATGTCCAGTTTAAAAACATGTTTCGTTTTCCCAAGGAACTGTTTAGGATTATTGTGGAGGTGTTGTCCCCCCATATGAGACCAACAAATCGAGCTTCAGATTTGGAGATTCCCATTCGTGTAAGTAAAGAAAATTTTCCACTTACAGCTTATTGGTTTCTTTTCTTATATGGCAGATATTGATTGCATTACGCTTTTTTGCTTCGGGATCTTATCAGATGGATGTAGGCTCCAACTTGTTCATGTCTGTCTCCCAACCGACTGTAAGTCGATGCATCAGTGAAGTGAGCGATGCTTTCAATGTCCCAGCGATTTTCAATCGATTTGTAAGATTCCCTCATAACTTCGAGGAACTGGACCGAGTACGAATGGGTTTTTTCGAAAAGTACAACTTCCCTGGTGTTGTCGGCTGTATAGATTGTACTCACGTGGCAATTGTGGCGCCCCCCGCGGAAGATCCCGATCGACCAGGACACTTGTACATAAATCGCAAAGGATTTCATTCGATAAACGTTCAGCTCATTTGCGATTCAAATCTTAAGATATTGAACGTAAAAGCATCTCATCCTGGAAGTACCCACGATGCATTCATTTGGAATAATTCTAATGTCCAAGAGGTAATGCGTACCATCCATGCAGAGAGACGAGGAACCTATTTTTTACTTGGTTAGTACATTCTCAATAAAATCAATGAAATGATAAAACGTGTTGTACGTTTTTGTAGGAGATAGTGGCTATCCTTTACGGCCTTGGCTTTTAACACCTTTGGAAGTTGAACCTGAAGAGGGTACACCAGAACACAATTACAACTGTGCCCATAAACGCGCAAGGGCTTCCATAGAGCGCTGCAATGGTGTTTTGAAAAGCAGGTTCCGGTGTCTTTTGAAACATCGAGTTTTACATTATTCCCCTCATAGGGCAGCTCTAATTATAAATTCGTGTGTAGTTTTGCATAATATTTGTATGGAGCGCAATTTGGTGGAGGATCTGGATGAGTTTGATAATCAGGACATTAATGACGGTGAGACTTTACATTACTTAGCTTTTGCAATGTTTCTAAAGCTTATGATTACAGGACTGTTTAACATGGACATGGAAAATGAAGAACCAGCAGCAGCACATTACATTAATCCTGAACTGGTTGAAGGACGTAGAGTCCGGACTGCACTGATTGCTGGCCGATTCATAAATAATTAATTTGTTAAAAGTCGTTTGAGAGAGCAATTATGTTTAATTAATATTTTCATAAAAATCTGGCATATTTTTCACAATGTAAATGTGAATGAATTGCTATAGGCTTGACAATATTTCATAAAACAGAATTCGTGAAATCTTATCAAACTAGACCTTGAATATTTTGGTATGCTACATTTGTGGTTAACCTCTGTACGAATCACTCACATTTAATATAGATCAATGCTTGTATAGTTATTTTCTAGTTTAGCTTATTACTTATCGTCATAATCACTAGAGCTGGCGTGTGATTATATAAGAAATTCTGTATAAAATAGGTTCTCACCTACTGAAATACATGTGTTGATGTACATTTCAAATGTGCACAATAGAATAATCATAAACTAGTAGACACAATCACTACAGACCGACGAAAGGGTATTTTCTCAGGAAGGAAGTGACTAGTCCAAAAAATCTTTTGTCGATCTGGTCTTGAAGCAGTGCTACACTGTATAAGAAAAAAATCACGAAGAAAAAGCTTAAAACGGAGGAGTAGTAGTGGCCCAGATGGACCAAGTGCAGGCAACAGCTTTAATTTTCTTTTAGGAAAATGCACTGAAAAATTTATTAGCCGCTCCCCAGCACTTGTAATTATACAACTAGAAAATTTATATCATTATGTAATTATCAATAAAAATCGTTTGTCGTTATATTTTACATATTACCATTAGTTGGAGCTATATTTAAGTTTTTTTAATTCTAGCAATTGTGTATTAATAATGAGTTGCTGTTCCATTAAAACAGTTTGTTGCCGTAAGTGCTCAATTTTTGCGTCGTAATAGTCTTTTTTTATTTTTAATTTTTTATTCAAATATTCTGCATATTCCGCCCTCGATTCTTCTGCCGTTCGCTTCTTCCCTTTTTTAACAATTTCTGAAGCTGCTGAACTGGTTAGATTCTTGGATGTCGTGGGTTGCGTAGGTGGGATTTTGGTTACCTCGTCAATGTTGATAACCTCGATGTCGACTTCGTCAACAGGGTTCAATATTATGGGATGAACAATTGCACCACTGGAATTGGAGATCATGGATGTGGCTAAAAGGACAAGGAAAAATTTTAACGTGAAAGTTGTTAAAAAATCGTAGCCTATATACTTGTATCATTCGCATGGAAATTGCAGACACTTTCTTTAATTAATGAATCTCCTTCTACCACTACCGGCTTGATAAAAGTGTCCACAATATCCTGCTCGAATGTGGTCAATTTTTCATCACTGGGGGGACCGCCACCTGTTTGGTTTGTTGACCGGTTGATTCTGGCAGCTTTCGCCTTTACGCGAGAATATAAATCTTGCCAAGTCTAAAATTGCAACAATATATATAGCTTTAATAAGGTATTGAGTTGCATATTAATGAAAACATTACTTTTCGCCAATTTTTCCAATCTTTGTAAGGCCCTCCAGTGCTATTCAAAGATGCTGCAACCGTCTTCCACTTCTCGTGTATATTTTTGTTGGTAAAATTAGGTGACGTTTTCCCTGCCACGTTTTTATTTTTTTTTTAAAACTGAACAAGTATCAGCTTTTGCTCTTCTGAAGCGCGAGACATATTTTAATTTTAAATTTGAATAAATCGCATAAATTACAAACGCAAGCGCAATGAATCACAATTTGACAGATTCAAACAAGTGACATGAGAAAAAAGTGAGAATACAGTGGTGCCAAGTTGACAAACTCGAGCGGTTTTCAATTAGTGTCAAGAATACGGAATTTGGTGAGTGAGTGAGTCACCGATGACAAAGTTACCCACTCACCGATTTTTATCGAGCGGTTCAAGAATAGGAGTCTAAGACCATGTAGCTGACGAACATTGATTTATCGTGCATCTTGAAAGGCAGAACGGAATGATACAAATCAGAGGGTGGAAGTATGCTATACTTTACCAATGGTATACGCAAGTCGCGAGTACCACAATCATCTAAGTTGTATACTGTCGGGTGCCCGACGGCGTATTTCATATATTTATTAATTAACGGTCAAGTGAGCAAACAAACAAATATCTGATCGCGTTGGTACGACCACCGAAAAAGCTATAGCGAGGATTCAGGGGGTTTTGATTCAACACTTTGGATGAAGTTAAAGACTTTCTGGCGGCCTGATTTTGTTTTAAAAATGCTCTGAATTCGCATTCTTAACAAGGCGATGCGTGTTTCGGAAGACATTTCGTCCCGTCCATAATAAAACCATCATAATTTAGGTTAGCATTAAACAAATGGGGAAGGTTACTTTTGGATTCTGGAAAGTTGAAGGTTTTCGGGGGGTTTGGATAGGACCATAGGTAGGAAATTAAGACTCTGTGAATTTTATCGCAGAAGACAATTAAGTTTGTTTATTCTCAAGTTGAAGTTTACACTTTTAAATTTACCACTATACTTTGTCTACTTACAATTATAAATATAAGTTTGAGCTACTGAGAAGTAATACTGGATGTTCTTTCTCTTCAGCTCCTTTTATAAGTCATTATTGACTTCTCAAAGAACAATGCGATTATGAGGACTAAGTCCTAGCAAATATACAATGTACCTCCAGGGGAGCTGGGCTCCGGGTCGACCGCCCAGAACTGCAAACGGAGCGTGGAACGAGGAGCCTGCTCAACGGAGGGACCCCGGATCACGACCCGGTGCGGGCGCTTGTCAGACCGCGAAGGACGAAAGTCGAAGGCGGAGGCAGCGAGTCCATCATGTGTGATGGGCTCGATCATCTGCGGTTTCAAACCCGCCAGACGATCCCTTCACCAATCGAAGAAGGCAATATTGCCTTCTGGGAAATTCGACTTAGGAAGCCTAATCTCTGCAACAGTGCAGGGACGAGCCTCCTTATCGTTCTTCGCCCGCTCTTGGCGAGCTCGTGACGCGATCGACGCCGAAGCGTTGTATGTCGCGCGCGCTTCCGCCTCTACTTCAAGGGCCCAGACCTTCTCAAAAACAGAAGGATCCATGGCGCCTAGGAGTATTAGCGGAGGGATGGAACGGTCGAACGACTGTATCTTGTCTAGAGATAGCTTTGCTACCTCAGACCTGATCCAGCTTTCGCTGACCTCGGGGTGTAAGAGATGACGCCTGTCATCTTTACACCGTGCCAACTCCTTATCACTAAATAGTGATCTAAAAGAGCGGATACACTTGCTCAAAAAACGTTTTTGAGCAACCTCCAGCAGATGGGCCACTCGAGCAGTTACCGCAGCGGCTACTGCGGGGGTCGAAGGAGAACCTTTCTTCTGCTCAGCCTTTTGGCTAGCAGAGGCGCTCCCCTTCCCCCCCGCGGGAACTTACTGCGTTCTGCGCAAAATAAATAAAATACAATTTAGATGTCAAACTATTTTTGCATTGTTCAACGGTAGGACGGGAACCCAACATAGCATCGTCGTCAGGAAAAAAGGAAAGAGCGATAGGTGTAAATGGGGAAAGTGGAATGAATCTTTGGCGGTTGCGTGTGTTCTTTTTATTGGGTTTTCTTATATCTAATTTATTAACAACAGAACATTTACATATGTACAGGGTGCGGCAAAGCCGACTAAGCAGTTTTGAGGAGCAATAAAAAACAATTCTTTATATTTAGAGACAATGTATTTAAATAATCTGAATTAGTAGTACATACCATTTTACATCCACTTATGTTTTAAAAATAATGTCGCTAAGATGGCGGCCGTTGGCATCAACACATTGTTGTAAGCGATGTCTGAAGTTCTCTGTAGCTCTTGCACAAATGTCTCGGGGTATGGCGTTCACTTCTTCAATAATCCTTTGTCTTAGCTCTGCTATGGTGTGGGGTCGTCTCTTGAACACCTTTTCTTTTAGATACCCCCAAAGAAAGTAATCACAGATGCTCAAATCTGGTGAGCGTGCAGGCCACCCGACATCACCCCTCAAAGAGACGAGACGTTCAGGAAAGATTTCTCTCAAAACATGAAGTGAAGCTCGAGCAGTGTGAGCTGTAGCCCCATCCTGTTGGAACCACAAGTCCCCCAATTCATGTTCTTCAACAATTTCATTCATCCTGGGTTGCAGGAAATTTTGCAACATTGCAACATAACGTGCGGAATTAACAGTCACGGTAACGCCTTCCTCCTCAAAAAAGTAGGGGCCTATCACGCCAAACTGAGATACGGCACACCACACCGTCACTTTGGAAGAATGAAGCGGTCTTTCATGAACAATTTGAGGGTTATTTTCAGACCAGTAGCGAAAATTTTGTTTATTTACATACCCGTTGAGGTGGAAATGAGCCTCGTCGCTACTGAAGAAAGCTGCATTTGGATGGATGGCTGCAAGCATTTGCTCACACAGATTGCGACGGCTGACATAGTCATCTGGGCGCAATTCTTGAGCAAACATTATTTTGTAGGGATGAAACTTCAAATCAAATTTCAGAATCCTCCTCAAACTGCGATCCGACATCCCCAATGCGATAGCATGTCTTCGAGCAGAACGTGTCGGCGAATTTTGAACAGCTGTTCTCACCTGTACAACATTTTCTGGCGTTCTGACGTTTTTGAATCGGCCATGTTTATTTCCTCTTAATGTGTTTCCAGTTTCCTCCAATCGCCGAACCCAAGATCGAATCGTGTTTGCATTTGGAACATTGTCATTGCGCGGAATGTTAAACTGTCGCCGGAAAGCGCGCTGTGTAGCGATCACAGATCGGTTGTTTTCGTAATAAGCCCGCACGGCAAAACCACGATGTACACCGGTCCAAACCATGTTGCCTACTAAATGGGGTCAACAACCAAACAAAGGAATACCGGTTGCAGCTGCCTACCCCCACCACACTCTGAGCGGTAATCGATCGATACTGCGTAGTCGGCTTTGCCGCACCCTGTACAAGGATTATTAATCTATCGCCGAAAGAGTCGTCTTCATGGTGGCTTCCGGTGGCGTCGGATGATGAAACGGCGTGGGTCGTTCGTAGAGATGGTGGCCGGATCGATTCCGTGTACGTCGCAGGCTGCTGGACAGGAGCGTAGGTTCCAAGCAGGTGAGTGCCTTGGTCGGGCTCGGCGATACCGGGAGCTAAATCGCGGAGGCGCGCGTCCGTAGGAAAGCGCCGGAGAACGTTGCGCGAGAACGCTTTTCCTTCGTGGGGTTGTAGGCGACATCAATGCGCGGAAGAGGACTTAAGGCGGTGTTTAGGTCGTACGCAGAATGCACACGTTGCAGAACGTGAGTGGAATTTCCAGCTGCAGAAGTACGCGCCCCGTGTGTTTTACTAGTGATCTATCCTTTATGTTGGTACGCAGTTGTTTCTCAGTGTTCAGTGTCGAAATTGACATTTAAACCTAACCTCTTTTGCGTCGTTAAATAACGTGGTGGTTTAGTGAATAGAAAAAACAGAATTTTTGATTAATTTCTGAATGGCAGACCCAGAGAGAATTAAATTAAAGAAGATACTGTTACTACGGTCGTTAAGTAATGATGTTGGGGCTCTTGCATACTCAAAGGAGGGTACGAAACGGTGGCAGTTAAGAACCTGTTAACAAATATAGGAGAAAATTTGGAAGGTTTCTAAATGTTTTTTCAAGTACCACGTGACAAGATCAAGAAAGCGTAGCAACCGATCTAACAACAAACTGCGTTACAAAGTTATCAATTCTGCGAAGCTTCTGCGTCTCCTACAGACAAGCATATTTGCGGCAACCTACGTTCTTGTATGTGTGCGTTCAAGCGATAAACAAGGCCGTATATCAACATGGTCTCGAACTACCTGCCGGCTGCGACTTTTCTGCAGCAGCGCCGTTCTGCGTACGGCCTAACCGCCTCTTAAGTTGTGTTTCCCGGCTCATGATGAGCGCCGTTGTGCAAGGCCCCCCCTATGATGAGCGCCTGTCTTAGCATGATATGTAAACGCAGCTGTGAGATCGCTGCTATGAGGAGCACGAGCGAATCTGATTCTACTCTCGATTGTCGATCTGGCTGTGAGCCCTTCTTCTAACAGCTCTAGCCATTGGCTTCTACTGTTTGCTGGTTGATTCTTGGTTTCATGGCATTCTTGTTTCCCTTGTGTGGTTTTATGAGGGTGTGGCGTATTGGCTCTTGGGAGCATGTCCTATTTCCATTCTCTGTTTCCACCGTGGCGATTTAGGAAGGTTAACGGGCTTGCGTCCACCCTCGTGCTGGACGAGCGGATGGTGAGAGACTGGAGGGTGCGGATTTGACTTCGGTTTTCCGATTCCAACCCACGGCGCTTCCGGTTTATAAAGGCCGTCCGCGCGGGGGTGTTTGCGAAACTCGTTGCGTGGGAGAAAACTCTCTTTGTTTCACTGCCGGTTTGCGCAGGGTACCTGGTGGCGTTTTACGTGCATATCGACATGTGCGTCTGCGAAGGTGTGTGTGATCGGTACCGTGGTGCCACCACAAATCTAATAATTAGTGGGCTCCCTATTATTACCGAAACAGTAAATTTAGATGGTTCATGTTTATGTTATTTTGTAATGCAAATTTAAAAATGTGAT